ATTATCAAGTACAATACATTTAAATATACAAAAACTTTAAAAACATTTAAAATTTTGGGAAATTTTCCCAACATAAAAAGGAGTTTTCCCTCAGGGAGAAGTAAAAAAACTCGGGGGGGCCCGCTTTTGCCCGAATTAGAAAAGACGGGTGGGGGGAGCCGTTTTTAAGGGGTTTTTGGTCAAAATTTTGAAATGCCCGGATTAGGGGAAACCCGAAAGCAAACGCTGAAAAGGGGGGCCCTGCTGTATCCCTGAAAGACTAAACCTCTCAGGTATATAACTTTGTGTTACAATTTAATGTTACTTGAGTTTGAAAAAAGGGGAAAAAAATTTTTCCAAAAACTGAACACTCATCTTAAAAATTTTTTTTAAGGAAATATATTTGAGAAAGGGCAAAAATGACAAGTAACTAAAAAAAGGGAAACAAAGCAAAAAGAGAAAAAATTTTTTTACGTAGCATAATGAAAAAGGGTTTTCCCTTTTTTTAAATAGGGGACCCCCGGGTTTTTCAGCCGTAATCCATTCCAGAAGCTCAAACCTAAAACCAAAATGGCCCAAAATTTAAAAAAAATTTCCCATAATAATTTAAAAAAATTACAATTAAAACCATTTCCCGAAAAAAAATTTTTCACCAAAAAAAAAAAAAAAAAAAATTTTTTTCAATTAAAACATTATTTTAAACCCCTTTTTTGAAGACAATGCTGGCTTTTTGAATGCCCGCCTCACTTCCCGCATGCCCCCGCCTCATTCCTCATGCCTGCCCCCCACTTCCTCATGCCCCGCCTTTACTTTCCCGAAGCCCCGTACATTCCTGCATCCCCTCACTTTCCCGCCAATTTCCTCTAACTTCCCCGATGCCTGCCTCACTTCCTGCATGCCCGCTACACTTTCTGCATGCCTGCCTCACTTCCTGCATGCCCCTACACTTTCCGCATGCCTGCTCACTTCCCGAAAGCCAGCCTCCTTCCTGCATGCCTTTCTAAACTTTTCCCGCAAGCCTTTCCTCATTCCGATGCCGCCTCACTTTCCTGCATGGCTGCTAAAAACTTCCGCATTTCCTGCCCACTTCCCGCATGCCTGCCTCACTTCCCGCATGCCTGCTACAAATTCCGGGATGCCTGCCTCACTTCCCGCACGCCTGCTAAAACTTCCGCATGACTTTCCTCCTTCCTGAAAGCTGCCCCCCCTCCTGCATGCCCGCCTCCCTTCCCCATTCCTGCCCATTCCCCGCATTTCCTGCCCACTTTCCTGCATGCCTGCCCCACTTCCTGCATGCCCGCCCCCACTTTTCCTTTCATGCCTGCTAAAACTTCCCGTGCCTGCCTCACTTTCCCGAAAGGGCCTTCCTCACTTCCTGCATCCTGCCTCACTTCCTGCATGCCTGCTACACTTCCTGCATGCCGCCTCACTTCCTGAAAGCCTTTACACTTCCCCGCATGCCCGCCTCACTTCCTGCATGCCTGCCCCACTTTTCCCGCATGCCTGCCTCACTTCCTGCAAAAACCCGTACACTTCCTGCAAAGCCTTTCCTCACTTCCCCCCAAAGCCCGCCTCACTTCCTGCATTTCCTGCTTCACTTCCCGCAAGCCGCCCACACTTTCCCGCATGCCCGCTACACTTCGTGCCATGGGCTGCTACACTCCCCGCATGCCTGCTCACTCCCTACAGGGGTGTTTACACCCCACGCAAAGCCCCGCTACACTCCCCGCATGCCCGTTAACTCCTTGCCTGCCTGTTTCATCCCCATGCCTGCTACACTCCCCGCAATTTTCTGCACACCCTTTCCCCATGGGCCCGTTTCACTCCCAGGCCCTTTTTCCCTTTTTAAAACTCCCTGCATGATGTTACCTCCCTTCATGCCCGTTACAATCCTTGCCTTTCCCGTTACATTCCCGCATGCCTGCTACAAATCCTGCAAAGTCTGTACAAATCCCTGCATGCCGCTACACTCCCTCATGCCTGTTTTCCCCTCCCCTGCATTTCCTGCTACCTCCCCGCATGCCTATTAAAACTCCCTCCTTTTCCTGCTAAAACTTCCTGTAAGTTGTACACTTCCTTTCATTCTGCTACACTTCCGCATGGGCGCTACAATTTTGGGATGCTGCTCACCTCCCCCATGCCTGCTACACCCCTGCATGCCCCGTTACACTCCTGTTAAACCTTTAACTTTCCCGCATGCCCGCTACACTTTCTGCCCTGCCTGCTAACTTCCTGCATGGCTGCCCACACTTTCCCGCCTGCCTGCTACACTCTCTGCATCCCTGCTACACTCCCCGCATGCCTGTTACCCTCCCGCAAAGCCTTACACTTCCTGCATGCCTATTACACTCCCTGCATGCCTGTTCACTTCCTGCAACCCCCCTTCTACAAATTTCCATGCCTGCTAAAAATCCCCCGCAAGCCTCTACACTTCCTGCATGCCCTACACTTCCCCGCATGTTGCTACACCTCCCGCCCTGCCTCTACACTCCCGCATGCCTGTTACACTTCCCCCGGATGCCTGCTTAAAAAATCCCCCCCCCCCTAACCCAAGCCTGTTACACTCAAATGCATGCCTGCTACACACCCTAAAATGCCTTTTTACCAAATCCCCCGCATGCCCGTTTTCACTCCCCCGCATGCCCGCTACACTTCCTGCATGCCTGCTTAAAACTCCCCCAAATGCCTGTTTTCACTCCCCACATGCCCGTTACAAATCCCTGCAGGCCCGGTTTTCACCCTGCATGCCTGCTAAAACTTCCCGCATGTCTGCACACTCTCCCCGCATGCCTGTACCCCTCCTGCGCCTGTTTAAAACTCCCTGCTGCCTGTACACTTCCTGCATGCCCCATTTTCAAATCCCGCATGCCCGTTACACTTCCCCGCACGCCTCCAACTTTCTGCATGCCTGCTAAAAATCCCTGCATGCCTGCTACCTTTCCCGCATGTCTGCTACACTCCCTGCCTTTCCTGTTACACTCTTGTATGCCTGTTTAAAACTTTCCCGTATGCCTCTAAACTTTCTGCATGCCCCCGCTAACTTTTTTGCTGCCTGCTACACTCCCTGCAAGGCTGCACACTTCATGCTTAAAATTTCAATGGTGGGTTTTTCATTTCTTTACCACAGGAACTAAACTAAAGGAAAATTTTTTTGGAGCCCTGGTTATTTTTCACAGTTTTCACGCAAAAAAAAACCCACAAAAAACAATGGAAAACAAATGAAATGTTTGGATGTATGAGCAGAAGCTTCCTCATGCACCGAGAGACACAGCCATACTGACGCGCAAGTGGCCCCAGCCGGCAGATGGATGCATCTGAAATGGCCAATCACTGAAAAACCGGCCGATCTCCAGGAGCCGAAAAAACGGCCAATCACCAAGTTGGCCGATAACAGAAACGGCCAATAACTGAGGGTCCAATGTATGTGTCTTTTAACTATTTTCAGGAATACATAAAAGTTGTAAGTGGGTAACCAAGTACTGTATAGTTCATAATGTTAAAGAGTCAAGCATATGGTAAAAAGAAAAAAAAAAGTTAAAAGCTCTGTGGTTTAGTCATATCAACTAGTGAAAAAAAAACTAGGTTTTGGACAGATGTGTAACATGGACACATGTTTATGAATAAATTTTTTCTCAGTGTCTAACACTACGTACACTAGTGTTTTATATTTCTAGGTGCTTTAGTACTCGTTACAAGGAAAGATGCATAGCCTAATATAGTCCCACTTGGACTTTACAATACAAATTGGTACAACTATTTTTTTTTGTTTCTTTGGCCATCAAACACTATGTACAAGAAAATCTTATGATAGTACAATTGTTTAATGGTGTGATATCCTTCAAAACATTGGAAATAAGTCACACTGTTTGACTTTCTTGGGTTATCCAGTGCTAAATCTATAAGGTACAGTATTCCTATCGACTGAATTCTACTCTCAGTATCATGAAACTGTAATAAATTTCAACCACATAATGCATTTTACTGTCAGTTCCACACGCATCATTTTAGTGTGTGACAGTCCTCAAAACATGGCAAAAAGTCTACATAATGTAGTTTGCTTGGTGATTTGAAACAAATGAGGCATCTATCCTCTTGTGAGTTCTACACCCTTTCAAGGTATGATAGCCCTCAAAACATGGAAATAAGTTACAGTTACTTGTATTATCCTGCGATAACAATCAACATAGTCAAATATACTTTTCTGACTGAATTTCACTGATAGCATCATAAAATTGTAAAAAATATAGAATTAATAAGGAAATTTCCTACTACTGCTAAAACCTTTCAAGTTGTGATAGACTTTATTAGGAAATCTTGGGATAAAAAAATCTACATGTACTGTGTTTTGTTTTTACTGAATTCCACAGTCAATATATGAAATTGCAATAAATATAGAACAAATAGAGAAAATTCCTGCCAGTTCCACAACCTATTTGCTGGCCAGCAAGACAGGTTCTGGTTTCATTGTTTGCACATGCTTCTGAAGCAGTATTTCCTGTAACATATACAGAATGGTTATAAATATGGCCATAACCATGGTTATAGTGGAAGGCCTTGGTCAGATGACCAAAAGCTCCAATGGTGGGTCATCATCTTTCTAAGACCTGCATCAGGAGACACCTGTCCCATTTCCTGATGAACCTTACCTAACCTCCTGTGATGCAATATGCAGAAATGTCTAATTCTAGATTTTTTCCCAAGTATGAAGTGTAGTGGACCCAAAAAGCTGAGCCCTAAAATGGCAATGCATGGCCAATCTAAGGCCCAAAAAACTGTGTGCACTAGGTCAAACACAGCCTGGTCCCCTGCATACTATTATGTCATATACAGTTTTAAGGGTTGAGCAAGGAACAGGTATAGACCTAAAAGTTGGCTTCATATTCCAAATCAATGTGTGTTTATCACACAGTATCTGAAAATAAAATAAATATATGCACTCACCTTTTTCAGCAAAATAATTCTGCAGTTAATAAGCACTGTACAAAAAAAAAAAAAAAATAAAAATGCAGTCATGAGCTTACCTTAATTTCTGGTTCCATTACTGTTGCAACAAAATCGACAATGCTGCCACCTATCACCACCTGCAGAATAATTAGTGTAAATTCCACAAATCATAAAATTTACTAATAATAATTCCACATACCTGTACTGTTTCACCCTGTCAGTGCTCAATGGACAAAAAAATTAAGTTATTGCATTTGTTATAATTAGTATAGTAGGGCTCTACTTATTCGGCAGGTTAGGTTTCAGGCTACTGCTGGAAAGCAGAACTCGATTTTTTCCATTTATAAATGCATATAAATGCCAGATAACAAGTTTACACTAACATATATTAAGTTAGCAATAGAACTAGGCATTAAAAAGTAAAATACACACACAGTACACTCATTATTTACCTCAAAATATTTGTAGTCTTAGTGTAGGGCTAAAGGTGAGTAGTATTTACTCTAAGAAGTCAGGTGTGGTAGCCCTCCTTGCCACCCCATCCACACATACTATACTACAATGCTTAAAGCTCCCTAGAGCGATAAAATGCATATACAGTACACGCATTACTTACCTTAAAATATTTGTAGTCTTAATGGTCTTAATGTAGGGTGAGAGGTGAAAAGTATTTATTTGTAGAAAGTCATGTGGGAGGTATGGCATCCCGCCTGGCCACTTATACCTACTACGACAACAAGCTCCCTAGAGCAATAAAATGCATATAAAGTACACTCATTAATTACCTTAAAATATTTGTAGTCTTAATGTAGGGTGAGAGGTGAGTTTTATTTGTATGAAGTAAAGTTGGGAAGTATGGGTAGCCAGGAAGGGCAGCCCTCCCCACCCCACCCACACATAATGTAAACAAACCAGATGAACGTGTCTGGTTTTTGTCACAAATCCTACAAGTTGCCTGGCTACCACAAGTCCTACAAGTTGCCTGGCTACCGCAAGTCCTACAAGTTGCCTGGTTACCGCAAGTTCTACAAGTTTCCTGGCTACCACAAGTCCTACAAGTTGCCTGGCTACCACAAGTCCTACAAGTCACCTGGCTACCACATCTCATATTTATGTTAATTTATTCTACTGTGGGGTATATTTGGATGGATTAAGCAAAATGTCTTTATTAATGTTTTATACGATATTTAATGCTCCTTAGAGTGATTATTGTGTTATTATCATTATTATTATTAATATGGCATCTTCAAGACTAATAAGACACTCTTAGTGATTTTAATGTGTACCTGCATGCCAGCACAGTGTGTAAGTTTACTTAAGTACAGGTACACATATGTATCAGTTATAATAATAATGTAGGTATGTAGTCTACCTGGGCTACATACCTACACCTACCTACATAGCTACATGATATTTAATGTGGCCCAGAGCCATATTATTACCATCAACATACCATGGTCACTGAGTTTAATCATTTATAACAACTACCTTTAGTAAGATGCCATCATAAACAAAGGGAGAAGTAATGAATAATTCAAGCCGAGAATTGTAAACAAAAGCTACCACACCTCCATAGTATATAAACAAAATGTTTATATACTATGTAATGTGCTTCTTACATAATTTTGAAGAAAATATCATAGATGGATTAATGAAAATGTCTATATTGACATAAAATTAGACATTTAATGTGCCCAAGAGTGATTATTATTACATAATAGAGAGATGTGCTCATGGAGAATGTAAACAAACTGGTTGGCCTGCGCCGTATTTGAAAGACCACTTGCGGTATAGAAAGCTTTGGTCATAATTTGAGATCGCCGTATTAGCGGAACGCCATAAGGCAAAACGCCAAAAAGCAGGACCCTACTGTATTAAGAAGTATAGTACCTACAATTCTCTGTATTACATTCAAATTTTAGTTTAAAGTGGCCCAGTGTTTTTGCATATGAATGCAAATATTGATCCTGAACTTAATGTGTTGAATAATATTCATAAGGGTAAACACCCTTTTGATCAAACCTGTAATTATTACACAACAAACCTTGCACCAAGTGTCCTCAATAAAAGCAAAAGTTTGTGTGCTTTCAACTTTAGTACATGTTTTGAAATCACAGGGACAAACTAAACCTACAATAGTAATATAATGCCTTGAGAATAAGAGGCATTAGCTTTGACCCAAGAAAGGGGAGGTTAAATCCAGTTCCTTGGATCAAGAACCCCTCACCAGTGTCAAGGCACCTCCCATGAGGGTGGCACAGGTTTGTAAATAAATACACTAAAGTATTCAACAGACCTATCAAGGAGGGTGGTACTGGTATTTGTTATGCTAGAGTTACAATGAATAAATTTTGTAATGACTAGGAAATAACTTGGAGAACATTTAAGTATTTAATTTACTTCAAGCTACAATAAAACTTTAAAAATGGAGCTATTTACAGAATCCCTCACACTAAAATACTAATTATTAATGACAGCATAAGATAATGGTCTCAGAGAAATGGTTCGCAAAAGTTTACAGCAAAGATCAAAGATGAAAATAGCACTGAGTAGGTTTACTAAAATGGATGTGGCATCTAATCTAATTAAAAACCCATGAGAAAAAAGATGTGAGAAAAAATGTGTTGTTCATTTTGAAATTTTTCAGGTCAAAGGTCACAAAAAATGTCAACTTTTTGTTTGACCTCCAAGGTCAAAAATTGTCTAAATAAATGTTTTAGAGCTACTTTCTAGCTTCAAAATGGTATGTTTATCAGGTCTGTAGGTACCACACAAGAGAAGATATTTCATTTCAAAATTTCCCATTACCTGCCAAAAAATGACCTTCTGGTCAAAGTTCTGTGACCTGTATCCTCAGAACTGTTTGAGCTACAGACTTGGGACAAAAAAAAAAAAAAAAAAAAATCTCATTGAAAAATTGGAGAGGTGCTGTGAAATGGCCTGGTTGAAGTGACATGGAATGTCCCTTCTGACACATTCCACAAAGCCAATTTGTATGTCAAATTTGCCTTCAAAATGCATGTTGATAGTATAGTCAATGACTGCAAGTTGTTTCACAACAGGTACACAGCTGTGCCAGTCAGCCTTTCTTGTTTCTTTCATTCAATGCTTATGTACAGCCATCAACACTGCTACATCTCTTGTGCCGTACCATCAAAATGCCATCACATTACTGGTATGAATACCTGCATTTCATTAGTATCTACAACTCTTGTAAATGCTGGCATATGTTGTGTATTTCCTCTCACTGTCCTACACGTTTTTAATGTTCATCTTGAGGAAATAACAAAGAGAAGGGCTTGTGTCTTTGAATAAGGTATGCCCTTTACCTAGATGTAGCTCCACCACATTCTTTACAACTGCACCGGAGTCCTAATGTGTCACGTGGATTTTTCATAGTTTGCTTTTCTGTACACTCAATAATGTCCAGGACTATTCCAGTTTCACAATCACGCATCACAAGTAGTTTGCTTGGTATATAGTGGTGAAGGGAAGTCTTCCTTTGAATAAAATCAGACTCATCTATGAAAGTTTTTTGGAATGGAGAAAAGCACTGACTGAATTTATGTTTCAAGTACAGTGAACCCCCAGATATCAGCTGGTGCAGAAATCGACCAATTCGAAAATCAAGCACTTTTTTCGGCAAAATTTCCCCCCGGATTTCGGCCATCTGCTCGGAAATCGTTGGTATGAAATGCGTCCACCCGCTGGCGACATGGTTCCTCCTTGTACGTCTCTGTTGTTGGGTTAGGAATACTCCATACGTTCATCCATTGTTTTTGATGTTTGTTTATTGATTGCAACTGTGAAATATGCCACCACGGGGCCAAAAAAAGTTCAGAGTGCCAGCCCTTTGGTAAAGAAGGTGAGAAACACGATAGAATTCAACAAATAAGTTATCACAAAACAGGAAAGTGGTATACGTGTGGTGGAGCTGACCAGGATATGTGGGAAATCTACATCAACAATCAGTTCCATCCTGTTGAAGAAAGAAGAAATCAAAGAAGCTGATGTTGCGAAAGGTGTAAATATGCTAACGAAACAGAGGTCTCAAACAATCGAGGATGTGGAGAAGTTGTTGGTGTGGGTCAACAAGAAACAATTAGTGGGAGAGTGTTTCAGAGGGAATAATCTGCGAGAGAGCAAGGCAGTTGCATGCGTATCTCGTAAAGAAAATGCTGGGAACGAGTGCTGCTGTTAGTGAATTTAAGGCCAGCAAAGGCTGGTTCGATAGATTCAAGAAGTGTAGTGGCATACACAGTGTTGTAAGGCATGGTGAGGCTGCAAGTTCTGACAAACATGCGGCTGGAGCATTCAGTGATGAATTCAAGGGGTACGTAAAGGCTGAAGGATCCCTTCCCCAACAAGTGTTCAATTGTGACAAAACAGACCTCTTTTGGAAGACAATGCCAAAGAGGACCTATATCATGCAGGAAGATAAGGCACTGACAAGACACAAGCCTATGAAGGATAGGCTAACTCTTTTGTTCTGTGGTAATGCTAGTGGGGATTTCAAAGTGAATCCTTTACTTGTGTGTCACTCTGAAAAATCCCAGAGTGTTCAAGAAAAACAATGTCATGAAGAGTAAATTGTGTGATGTGCAGGGCTAACAATAAGGCATGGGTCACAAAACTAATTTTCATTGAGTAGGTCTATGAAGTGTTTGGCCTGAGTGTGAAGAAATACCTCCTGGAAAATAATTTCCCAACTTAATTGCCTCCTGGTAATGGACAATGCTCCTGCTCATCCTTCAGACTTCGAAAACCTATTGTTTGAGGAGTGTAAGTTCATCACAGTGAAGTTCTTTCCCCCTAATACCACTCTTCTCATCCAGCCCATGGACCAGCAGGTCATTGCAAACTTCAAAAAACTGCACACCAAAGCAATGTTTCAAAGGTGCTTTGAAGTGACCTTGGACACTGAAATGACCCTAAGAGAGTTCTGGAGGAATCACTTCAATATCTTCCAATGCATAAGCCTCATAGATAAGGCTTGGAAGGGAGTGACTTCCAGGACTTAGAACTCTGCTTGGAGAAAATTGTGGCCAGAATGTGTACTCGAGAAGGATTTTGAAGGGTTAGAGGCTGACCCTGATGACCCTATGCCTATTGTGGAATCTATTGTGTCTTTGGGGAA